CCCGCGCAGCGCCCGGCGCTGCCATGCGGGACACCAGGCCCCCGGTAACCCAGGCGGTTTGTTTGCAGAGCCGGCCCTGGAAGGAGGAGAAATGCAAGAAGAGGGAGAGTGAGAGGGGTAAGGAGCTCCCGGAGCTGCGTGAGTGACTCTCGCCCCTGCCCCGGGGCTCCCGCCGGGAGGGACGGGAGGGAATGGCTCGCGGGTCCCGGAGGTGGGGAATTGAGGGCGTTGGAGCTCCAGGGTGCGGGAGAAGGGATTGAGCGCCTGGAAGGAGCTGAGGCGCAGGGTTTGCCCTCTGCCAGGCACCTGTTCCAACAGGCGCTCGGTGGGTCGGGGTGGAGGCTGCACGTTACCAGGGAACGGCACCAAAGTTCTGTGTCTGGGGTGCGGGTTTGGGATCCAGGGTTTTGTCCTGCACGTTTGGGGCATTCCTGATGTGAGTTTTAAAGGTGTAGCGGTGCTTGAACGTTTTGGCCCTCTTGAGTTCTGTGGAGGTATTTTTGCTTTTGATCTGACAGCCTATGTGGCCTTCAGCATCCCTAGTGTTTTGCTGCAATTAAGCCTAAAAGCTCCTTGTTATTGAACAGAGATCTTGGGCAGATGTAAAACAAAGTTTAAATCGTTCTTGAGTGTCACGCTCAGGGCCTTTTGTCGACTGAAAACTTTGCTCCAAATAGAAAGTAAAAACCAGGTATCTGGAGAATAAAGAAATCCATGTTAAAAGTCAACCTCTGAATAAATACCTGCATATCCAACCTTGATTGTGCCTTCCAGAAACACTGCCTCTACCTCACCGTGTACTTGCATGTGTTTTTATCTATCTGTTTATGATTAAAGTGGTGACCCGCCAAGACGTATAAATCCAGCACTTTAAGTATGTGATTCTGTGAAGTACTCTGTGAGATCTAAACTCCAGATCCCTTGTCCCTTGTGAGTTCTCTGGTTCACTGGGTTGTTTATGTGGTGTTTGTACATTTGTGGTCTGTACATAGAAAGTGTTTTTGGTTTATATCAGGAGGGTACGTTGACATCTGTCTGATACTAGACTGGTGAATAGGAAGAAGGTCCCATCTCTGGCCTGTTTGTGGAAGCTGGGATGATGAAGGCACTGCAGTGGGAACGTGCTGTGGTACAGGGTTGAAGCTCCAGCCCATGTCTGGTAGTTATAGAGCAATTGGAAGGGTTACGTGCAGAGTTCTGGTAAAGTAAGTGTGAGCAGCGTCGAAGTGGGGGCTGCAAATAGGGGTGCATGTTTTCAAAATATCCCTCAGCCTAAAAGCGGGGTAGGGGAGGGACAGCTGTGGGTACGAGGACAGTATTTTGGTGGAGGAATCTTACCTTTGTTTTCTGCCTTTGGAAGACTGGCTTGCTAGTGAACTTGCATGAAAGCTTCAACTCTTACACCATTTCTCCCTTTCCTCCACATTCTTATAACTCCAACACACTTCAACCCTTCCAGCCAAAAATTTTGAGGCCTGGTAGTCTGCTTGAGTGTGAAGATTTTTGGATGGAGAGTTGTATTCTAAGAGAGTTTGACAAAAACAGTGTAGTCATCCTTTGAAGAATCAATAAGAGCCTTATTTTGACTTGCACACATTGTAAACTGAGCAAACAAAAGCTAAATGCTCTGTTAAGCTGTGGTAGGGGGACTAGATGGAGACAAGCAGCCACTGAGTGCCCTGGCCTTTGCCAGTCTGCGTTTTGGAATCTGGAGAGGACTTGCCTTTCATTCCTTGTACTCTTTAAATAAGAAAGCTGCTGCGAGATTTTTGCTTAAATTGGCATCTTTCTGTTTAACTCCTGAAGTTTGCAGTTGAGTCAAAAGGAGTCTTGGAGAACTACAAAGTTTTTTTTGAAAATGCATCTAATTATTATATAAAACTTTATGTTTTTAGAGAATCAGGTTCACTTTGATGTTTTTGATGTGGAAGCTATTGATGTGGAAGCTAAGAAAATAAGGACTTACTTATTTTAAAAACAAAACCAAAACCAAGCAAAAACTCCAAACTTGGAAATTCCAAACAAAATACCCTTCTTCATTCAGGTGGTACCCAGTTGCCAAGAATGTGTTCTCTTCATGTGTGCCCATCCTGTGGAAGAAAAAAGTCACGTAATTAAGCGTTACATGCACAGGGCTTTGCTGTGGGCAGTGTACTTAATAATTAATTTGCCTCAGAAAAGAAAGCAGAGGAAGGAAGGTAAGAGTGTTGCCCCATCAGACTCTGATTGAATCACAGCAGTGTAAATCCAGAGTAATTCAGTCAGGCAGCGAGCAGTCTGACTGCATGCCATGACGTAAGGTAAATAATTTATCCTTAAGTGTGTTTATTGGTTGATTTGCACTGAGTGAGTGAGGCAGGAATACTTGGCCTTGCTGTTGCATGAGCAATTCATAAAACCAAAATTATTGGGTAATTTAGTTCATTTAAATACTGCTTCTCTACATAGAGGAAAATTATCTTTGCATTTTGGCTCACATGCAGCAATTCCACATGTATTTATTCTACCCTGATGTACTTCTGTGAAGTAAGTGTTTCGTGCTACTCGAGGCATGCCTCTGAGCTTCTCTGATGGTTGAGACAGGCCATTCAGAAACAATATTGGTTTGTTAATTAGGCTGGAACAGAAATAGGAGTGGGACAGTTTGCAGGCAGCTGCATGAGAAACCTACAACGGTTGCTTTCTCTGCCAGATGTACTCTGAGCACAGTTTTTACCACGTGTATTTTACCCACCAGTTTTGTCATATTTGTTCAGGAATATCTTCTACTTCAGGAAATATTCTTTTGTTAATTTCTTTAGTTTTTGAATAGTGTTTTTGCAAGTGTAACAAACTTTGTCCACTAATACTTATTACACAGAGGATATAAGGATTAGAAAGGAAAGTGCTTCTTCAGTCAGGTGTTCCTAAAGAGGTTACACCTCTGTGTTCAGGAGACTCTTTTGATGTCTAACTGATCCTCTCAATGCATGGAGAGTTGAGGTGGAGCAGTGGGCACATGGCTGGGGAGAGAGTCCTACAGAATCTTGTCCCAAACGTGGGAATGAAGTGAGTAATAGAGAGCCATGACATGATCTCACTTGGAAATAGGGTATCTCAGGAGCAGGGGAGTCAGTTATTTTCCCACGGCCTAGTCTCATTGGATGAGAGCAGGAATATTGAGTGATATTTCTGTCTTTCTTTCAAGAGTGGGGCTGGGGTGGGCAGTAGGAAGTGAGGAGCCCTGAGTTTTTGATTTCTTGGTCTGCTGTGGCTGTCTGTTACCTTGGGCAAGTCTGTTTCCCTCTCTCTGCCTGTCTTTCTTCCTGTGTAACATAATACTAATGTCCCTTTGCTGCATCTGGGTCCTTAGTGTTGAGCTGGGGTGGAGGGACAGGCAGGGTACAAAATTTTCACTGCTTGTGGGATCAGACTGTCTGTGACAGTGAAAAATGGTTTTCATCTGTATTTGCCTGGTTGCAGATGCACAGACTTCATTTATGCCATGTACTTGGGTGGATGATAATTGGGAAAATTTGGAGGTCTTCTAGGTTTCTAGTCAGTCCTTATTTTGCATGGAGGACTACTGGGCAAGAGGCATTTGAGATGGACCCAAGCCCATGGGAATAGCAGATGCCTTTTTCCCCTGAAAATAATTTTTTGAGTTGGGCAGATAGCTCAAAAGGGGGGAGAGGCTGCTCAAGAATGACAGGGGAAATTAAGGAACTGTCTCAGCATTAGACTGAGTCAGTTCCATGTTGGAGTCTCTTTGGGTTTAATGGTTTTTTTTGTGTGTGTCTGTCTGTCTGTCTTCCTTATCCTCCATTCCTCTTCCCTTCCCCTTTCCTCTTTCCCCCTGTGCCCAGCTAGGATGGAAGAATCTCATTTCAACTCCTCCCCGTACTTCTGGCCAGCAGTGCCCACTGTCTCGGGACAGGTAAGGTCTTCCAACCTATTATGTTGGTCTTGTTTCCCATTAGAAGTCCATGTATAAGTGTTTCTGTTGCATTTCTTGCTCAGCCAAATGCTGGGTGAAGTTGTGCCAGGGTATCCTAAAATCTGTCCTTCCTGCCTGTTTAGATTGAGAACACCATGTTTATTAACAAGATGAAGGAGCAGCTATTGCCCACAGAGAAGGGCTGCAGCCTGGCTCCCCCCCACTACCCTGCCTTGCTGACAGTACCCACCTCTGTGGCCCTGCCCACTGGCATCTCCATGGACTCGGACACCAAGCCAGAGCAGCTGACACCACACAGCCAAGCCCCTGTGACTCAGAACATCACCGTGGTACCAGTGCAGTCTGCTGGGCTCATGACAGCAGGTAGGGCACTCCAAAGTCTCCGACAGCATACAGAGGAGACTCTGGAGTGGGGAGACAGGAGGGCCTGGAGAATCCTTTTTGGGCTGTCGATTATTCTTAGCCTTATTGATGGTGTGGATTGCCTGGGTGTGATTTCACTGTAAATTCTCTGTAAGTTTGACTTCCAGCAGTGGAAACTGGGAATGCATTGGGAGGGGAAGCTACCCTTCTGTTTGTGTTGTAGTCAAAAGTAGGTGCTTCTGTGGGATAGGGATGTTGGGCATAATTGGAGATGTAATAACTGACTTCCTCCGTCTTCCTTTGTTTGCAGGTCCTGGTCTGGTGATAACTTCCCCGTCAGGTTCCCTGGTGACCACAGCCGCCTCTGCCCAAACCTTTCCCATCTCAGCTCCCATGATTGTCTCTGCACTACCCCCTGGCTCCCAGGCAGCCCTCCAGGTGGTTCCAGACCTGTCCAAGAAAGGGACAACTGCCCTCACTGAAGGTGGTGGGGGTGGGGGAATCGCCCCCAAACCACCCCGGGGCCGGAAGAAGAAACGATTGCAGGAGTCAGGGCTGCCAGAGATGAGCGACCCTTTTGTGCTGACAAACGAAGATGATGAGGACCAGCACAAGGATGGCAAGACATACAGGTGGGGAGCAGGGTTAAACCTTGACTGTAACACTGCATGGGGATGGGGATGTATTTAACCCTTCAGAGGGTTACATGGGGAAGAAGAGATCTCTGCCTTTTTCCTAGAGAGTCTTTAAATAGAGAATCTTTGAGCTGCAGAAAGAGTTGAGTTTTCTTTCTAATCAGGAATGTTTGCAAGCTGGTGGGTCAACCCAAAACTAAGGATCTCCTTAGTAGACTTATATAGTCATTAATGTTCCTAGGTTAGTTAATGGATGTTATGGAGGCTAAACTGTATCCTTGACGCCATAGCCAGATAGTAAGGCTGGTGTACTGCAGAGTGCAGTGCTGTCTGGTGTAGCTGAGAGCCCTGGTGTACCTGGGTGCTCCTCAATTAGGACTCCAGTCTGTCCAGTGTAAAGACTACAGACTGGAGGCACACAGAGCAAGAAGTGAACCGTCGTGCGTGTTTGCTCCTGTATGCATTGCCCCATGTCATCTCCTCCTATTTCAGCATTCTAAACAAAAGAGGGGAAAAAGGTGCATTTTTGAATTAGTTTTAAGGGTGTTTGTGAACCATGAGTGTATTGGATAAGAGGGAGGAGAGTTCTGAGCCCTGAGGTTGGGTTTCTGAGCTTGGAGGGATGTGGCTTGAATTTACGAGTGGTGGGAAAGGCAGTGATTATCTAGGAGGGACTTAAACCAGAGGATAAGGAGTATGGGTGTTTTAGAGAAGGTGGGAACCATACAGAGCAGACAAGTGGTAGGGAGGAAATGTGATGGTCTGTGTTGGGTGGGAAGCACTTATGTGATTCAGAGATAGGTGATTCTGACAGATGATTAAGATAAATGAGAGGCGAAGTAGTAGCCAAATGGAAACAGAAACAGTAGATAGTCCTGTGTCTTCTCACTTCCCTACAATGTGCCCAAGATCCTGTCTCAAAGTTTCCCTTTTGCCATCCTAAACCCTCTTTTTTTTTTTTTTTTGGTACAGATTTAATTATGTTTCTAGAATTAAACCATATCAATATGAAGTCATCTACACACAATTGGTGCATCCACCTTGGGCACTGTTTCACTTTTAATTATAGCATTTTTTATATGTTTACTTTTTTTAATCAATACAGTTAGTTAAATGGATATAAAACCAGAGCTTGGATCAGCCTTTTTATTCTCTTACCCAATGTCCCAGTTCTTCCACTTTGAAAATATAATCAGCGTATGGTGAAGAGGGGTGGGAGTGTTAGGTAGCTTGCTATTTGTAATCCCACCATTTATTTTGGGCCATAGCCACAGTTCCACACTTCTCAAGCTGCTTACAGTCTGGGTTGCTAATTAGGTTGTTAAATATGTATTTACAGGGGACACAATTGGCAGTGAACACTAGAATTAAAGCTGAACCAAGGCTTTAATTATAGCTCCTTGTTTACTTGTAAGTTTGGAAAAAAAATGCCCAAGACCAGGTGGAGTGACTCAGCAGAAACTTTATAAACACACATAGTCTGTTGAACAGCTCATGGAATAGAATTTACAGGGAAAAAATGAATGAGTTTATATGTAGGAACATGTAATCGGGAAGATTTCCTGTTGTTATGTTTAGTCTGAGTGTGGTACCTCTGCCTCTTCCTCCAGCCCCCCTCCCAAGCAGGCCTTCCTCTGAGCAGTGCTAAGGTGTGGGATAGCTAAATTGAGATTTATTGAAGACCACCACGGAGTACTTCTGCCTTCCTTGGGGTTTCCTCGTTGGCTGATGCTTTCTATGTGCAAGTTTGGAACTAAAAATGATTGTTGAAAAAATAAAGGAAAACGCTATCTTTTCTTGGAGCTGTGGGAGAGAAAACCTTTGTGAAATACAGTAAAATTGTTGCTCCATAATATGCATATGAATAGACTTGCAAGTTAAGACTTTGAGGACTGCTGGGTTCTTTCTGTATTCTAGAGGATGATTTCAGTAGTTCCCGTCACTACAGAATGCAGACGTATCCCAGCTAAATTAAGACTGTGGGTGAGGTTCATCTACTCCTGTTCCCTTCTCAGGCTGGAGGAGGAGTTGGTATTCATATGACTACATTTGTATGATTTCACTGATTCCTATGATGAGACACTGAGAATAATCTATTCAGATGCCTGGAAGGAGTTTTACTATATTGATCAACGTGACTTTTTTTTTTTAATACCTGATTCCTAAAGCCTGAGATTATTTTGTCAAATTTAATTAATTTTTTTGTTTCACGTTTTCTTTTTGAGCTCTGTGAGCTCTCTTGTCTTGAGTGTCTAGGCATGTGGCTAATATCCATAATTCCTGACTCCTGCTGTGGTGATAAAGACAGAGTAAGGCCTTGAATGGGGAAGCACAGCCAGGCAGATGCAGAAGGAATTGGAGCACAAACCTTAATGTATTGCAGCTCATCCCATTCTCTGCTAAATGTAGAGATTCCTGCTCCAGCACATGGCAGCTGTTTTGCTGCTGTATCATCCCTAGAAGTGAATTAGTAGGCTGCTGTGAAAGCTGTGCAAGAATCTTTGTGACTAGGTCTTTCTTTTCAAGAAAAGGCGTGAGGCTTTTGCTAATGGTGGCATTGCTTGCGTATCTTGGACATCTAGCCTTCGGATTAGTCTGGCAGAGTCCTTGGTGCTTTGCTTTGTGCTATTAGAAGAATGTTTGCACCTACAGGGGACAGCATCTAACCCAGTCCTGTGAAGCATTTTCTGTCATGAGTAATGTCGCTTCAGTCTTGTCTGTATTTGTTGTCAGCTCTTCGTTAATCTTCCCTGATGTCTTCGTAGAATTCACTTTTTCTGTGAAAAATGAGATCAGCATCAAGATTCTTTCTAGTAAGATGTGAAGTGTGAAGCACGTGGCTGCTTCTCAGTGATGAGGAAAAGAGAACAAACAGATCCTGGATACAGTAGTATTGTTTCTTAGTATTGTGGTACCTGTACCTCTGTGCTTTAGAAGTCTGTGCTGTGATGTGATCAGTGGACAAGACTGATGAAGTAGTTCAGCCTCTCTGGGCCAGATGATCAGGCTTCTCTGACAGTTCTCTAAATAGTTTCTTCTTTGCAAGAGAAAAGAGCTCTCTATAGGTGTTGCTTGGTTCCAGTATAAAGTTTGTAAAATCTAGGACAAATACCAATTTATAGTCTGGAATGGTTTTGCGAGCTGTACTTTGGAGCCTCAGATACCAACAGAAAGGTTGTAGGCTTGGGAAGGGCCTGACCATCATAGTGTGATTGACAAGCTCTCTCTTACCCACCTCAAGTTCTGAGTTTTCCTACTTTCACTGGGAAACAGCAGGGGGTTTGGGAGACAATAAGCAGCTGAGGGACATGGGAAACTTCCGAGACAAGTCCAAGGTGCAAAAGTGTACAGAAGCCTTAGCAAGTTGAGCTGTAGAAGGCGAGGAAGCTGGATGGAGGCCCTCATTAGTGAGAAGATTATGTACACCTGGGTGCCAGTGGTTTGAATACAGCAGGTGGGCATATTCTCAGACATGTCTGATTTCAGGCCTTTTTTTCTGCCCTGGATTTAGCATGGCTGTTTGGTCAGTTTCCCATGGTTTTGAATAGACTTTGAAATCTGGCTTTGTAAGCCATGTATGTCTGTGAGAAAATTGTAGAATTTGCCCATTTGTAAGCTTGGAAAAAATCTGTTAAGCATGCTCTGAGATGCTTTATAGTTTTGTGGTCGAAATATGTGAAAGTTATATCTTCTTTGACATCTCTTGAGGGTTGCATGGCTCCAGGCAGCGACCAGACTTCCATCTCCACAGAAAAGATAAATACACTCTAACTTCTCTCAGTTTCTGTACGAGGCTGGACTACATGTGTACTCTCTCTGGAGCCATAGGCTAGCACTGAAGGGCCAAGCATGCTTTCCCTTCAGTCACGACTGCTCCTCCTGCTGCTTCAGAAGGAAGTCTTAGTGCCCAGTGTGGACAGCAATCTCCCCCCTCTGATGGGCACAAAGGCAAGGTGTGAGAAGACACCACTTGGTTCAAATGTAGTAGGGATGAGAATGAGATATGTGCAGGGACTGGGGCTGTTTGCGTTGAGGAAATCTGGAAACTTGGTAGATAAGAGATAGGAATCAGAAAGGAGGAGAGAGAAAAGATAAGAGCCTACAAAGTAGGGAATGTAGCAGAGGATGGGGAGCCTCTTTGCAAGGGAGAAATGGGGGAGGTAGCACAGGGATAAGCTGTGAAGGACCAAGACTAGCAGGAGGAAGAAAGACCCAGATCTGCTACGTGCTGGAAAATGAGGATATACCTAGAACTGGCAGAACACAGAGGGACAAGAGTATGGGATATGAACAGACAAATAGAAGCATGGGGGAGAGGAGACAAATGTTAGGCAATTGAGGGAATGAAATAGGGAAGAGTCCCTGCAGTAAAAGATAAAGAGGCTGGCACATGTGGGTAAAATGCTTGAGCCTGGGTCTTGGTGCGGGAGAGGGCGGATTGCTACAGGCTAGAAGGCTAAGGGCAAAGGGGGAATTAAGTTTGGAATGTCAGGCAGAAAGTTTGACCACATTCCCTCCAAAGCCTAGAAATACTAAACCCAATGTTTCTAAATTTTGCCATGTCTTTGAGGTCAACTCAAGAATATGACCTCCTCTGGCAAAGAACTTCATCTCCCTCTAAGGCTAGAAAAAGGTGACAAAGTATCGTTGCTGTCATTTATCATCCTAGCTGCAGTGGCAGAGGTCTGTGCAGTGGATCTTAAGATTGCTGATGACCAACATGGGTGTCAGTATGATGCCACATGTTGGAATTTCTGTTTGCTTTTTTTAACAAGTGGTTCCGTGAGCAGCGGAACTAATGAAGCCTGGTTTCCAGCGGCTCTCTCCTGTGTGGATTCTCTGATGTCTAATCAAGGGTGAGCTTACTAGCCTTTCCCTCAGCAGAGGGCTCCAAGAGAGTCTCTCTTCTTTCCCCAGATGCATATTTTTGAGACTTGTATTAACTTTTAAGATCCTTACCCTTTTTCCAGATTGGTTGAAATTGGCTTATGATCTCAAAACTCTTAAGGAGGACAGGTGCACATGCACATCTACAGATACACACATAGTTTGTACACATAAGCTTTGCTTTGCGTATGAACACAGTGCTTGGAGGTTAGAAAATGGCAGAATTAGACTGGCCACATGCCTCAGGATATATAATAAGGTAAAAAACTTGAGTTATGGTAAGTTCTCTCCCTTCTGCTGAGATATTGTAACTGTGTGTGTGTGAATACATGTACGTGCTCTCACTTGGCAGTTCATCAGAGTGCCAAGCAGAAAGAATTAATAGGAAAGGTTCTGCGGTCATGATTTTAACTTTGGCAAGTTACTTGTGTGTCAATGGAATGAGTGTGTGCAAGGGGAGTGAGGGGGACAATTACAGTTTCAAACAGGGAGAGAGAACTTTGAAACTATTTTGTTGCACATCTTATCTGATCACACCTTAATTTGGCCCTACTGAGTCAATGCACTTTGATACCATCCTTGATTAGTTATTGGTAGATGGTGGCCTGTCAGAGTTCTGCATGTTTACTCAGGTAACATGAAAGGAATGTTCTATTAAAAAAAACAAAATGCATTGACATGGAGTTGCGGAATTGAGAAGGATGGTTTGGGGAAGGCATTTGACTGCTGGTATGAAGAACTGTAGATTATGCCTGCCTCTGCCTCAGATTGCTGTGTTATTCTACAGTCATGTGGTTCAGGTCTGTAGATAATCTTGCCTTGAAGTGCGTGCAAATACGAGTTAGGTCTAGTCTTCAGTGGATTTGCGTTTGTCACAGGCTACGAGTGACCACAGACAGTTATCCTGAAATAATTAACATTTGGTCTTCCCAGAACTGTAATCTCAAGTATCATTGAATACTCCTCTGTTACAGGTTAGACCCTGTCTTGCTTTGCAAAAGGTTTGCATCTCATAGTTATAGCATAGACAATTAAGTGAGCTGTGATATGAATGTATATAATATGAATTTTCCTTTAAAAAAAAAAAGTGCTCACAGGTATTGGTTTGGCCACTCAAAATTAGTGGATATGTCTCTTTTACTGTTTCACTCCCTTTGCTTACAAAAAATAGACCAAGGACATTGTGAGTATAGATGAGTGTTTATGTAGCTCTGGTATTTCTGTGATGGACACAACAGATGAGTGATTCTGCTTCATGAGGTTGGAATTGCATGTGGTCGACAAGGCTCGAGGCTGTTCAGAGAATGGTGATAGAAAACAGTGAATGCTTGTTTGTTAAGTATCTGTCTGTGCAACATAATAAGGATGCAGTTCTGTGAAAACAGTCAATAAGGCTGTATCAGAATGCACCTGCATTGCAGAGCCAAATTATGGTGACATGGATGAACTTAATCCTGGTGTTTCCAAATTTACTGTAGTGCTTTCTAATGGGCCTTTTGTATTTTTTTTAATTTTAGCTTTTGTATGTTGTCACTATATCAGGAAATACCTTATTGTGTTTTATTGTTTTGTTGGTCTTTTATGCTAATGGTGACTGATTTCAAAAATCGGTAGACTGTCTTAGGCCTGATATTCAATGATTTGAAGGTCAACAGGAAGTCATGACTGATAAAGATAAAAGCAATTCTGGTGGATCGCTGAAAAAAAAAGGGGATCTTTATGTGGTTGTAAACTAGAATTATTCAGACAAAATATATTTTAATACAGCCCAATGGAAGACTTAGCCTTTTGGGTAATACTGAGTGACTTTTCCAGCAGTCAGGGATTGAGGTGCAAGTATTTGGACAGTGGAAAACATTATCAGACAAAAGTGTTCTGTTGGATACTATTGAATGTCTTTGATCTAAAGATAAGGAATATGGAGGAACAGTATCCCAGAACGCAATGACTGTGGAAAAAACTTTTAGGAAGCAAGTGAAATCATGAAAGCTCCCAGTGCGAAATTGTGACAGAAAAGGGTAAGTGCAACTGTTGAAAGCATAAATAATGGAGTCATTAAAAGAAGGCAGGCAACTTGTGAAGTATGCTGAAATACCACAAAATTCTGGGTCTGGTATTTTTAAGGTCATTTGGAAAATGGACAAAATGCAGGAATGCCCTCAAATCTGAGAACTGGGAAAATGCCATATGATGAGAGCATTTAAAAACACTCACTGCCGTGCCAGGAAAGTGTGCTTTTCTGCAGCCTTATCAAGCCACCAGGTGACTGAAGGACTGTGGAAATAAGTTGACTGAGATTTCTGAGCGTGGCTGATAGATTTGATATACATGCCAGTAGTGTAAATTGTTACGTGGAGGTGCAGCATTGCCTTTTGAATAGCAGCTGATGGTGGTTGTGCCAGTGTGGAAGCAGAGGTACAGTTCACATGCTTTCATTTGGCATCTTAGTAGTCACTGACTTTCTTTAGGTGTTACCCAAGTTTTCTACCTGTGTAGCTTTTGTCTCCTTTCCTTTGCCTCTTACAAAATATTAACAAGAAAATGTTTAACTTCAGCTTTAAGAAAAAAAAATCAGGGGAATTAGAGGGTTAAGTTAGCATTTATCATGAACTGTGCATCCATTATTATGCTATGTTTGCATTAGTTACTTCATTAACTCTGCATTGCAAAGACAGTACATTTGTTTCCTTGCTAAATGAACTGCTGACTCTGACAGCCTAAACTTACTCTTATCATCTAGTTTAACTTCAGACCTTCCTGTTTTGATTTTTATTTTAACTTGCGGCCTAACTTGTATTTGTAGCCTAACAGAAGGAGCAAGGACTCAGTTAAACTTGTAAGACTAATCTCAGTGGATACTAAGAATTTGAACTCTCAGAGCTATGTAAAAGCTTACATAGTTTTCACAATTGTGGTATTAATTAATTAAGCACTTGATTGAAAAAGGCTGTTAATCCATGCCAGGCAAATTTTACTATGAGCTGGTATTTCAGATGGTATTTTATCTCCTAACAGCATCGGATGAATGAGGCGGAACATTCCATGAAAAGTGGAAAGAAATACAGCACTGTGTGCCACAGAGTTGTAGTCTAGTTGCTATAAGCATCATTCTGTTTATGACTCATCGTGATGACTTTCATATGGGAGCAGAACTAGAATTGTACATACACCTTTTACTGGCATTTCATGATTTTTGAGGGTGTTTCTGTCTAACATGAACATTCTCCAAATGTCTCCCTGTATTTCCCTGCAGATTCCCTATAAAAAGAAAGCATTATAAACATTGGAAGGGGTTAATTTTGATCTCTGGCATATGGCTGAATGCTAATCTAACTATTGATATGAGCCTCTGTATTATTAAGGATATTTTCTCAAGGCTGTCTGAATTTGCAGAGCCATAACAGGCAGCTGCAGGGATGTTGTGTCACACTGTCAATGGGAATGCTGCAGTCATTTCTGCTACTTGCTCTCAGAAAGAATACGATGAAAGGAGTGGTAGTTTAGAAGCACAGTGGAGAGACAGTATTAAAAATGGATATTTTTTTAAAAAATAGAAGGGGAGGAAAAATCAATTACTTCATATAGTGCTTCATTCATGCTTAGCAAGGAGCATTCCCTACTTTTCCTCTCTCCAGCCAGGAGACGTTCACTGAAATAGAATACTGAAATGCTGCTAGTATCAGATGGGATGTTCTCATTATCCATATAAATTTAACATTTTTTTGAATCCATATTTGCCCACTAGAGGGCTGATTGCATCTTCCCCTTTAATATTTGATGTTGTCTGAGGCAGAATGCAAAGGCCTTAATTAAATGGATCATTTGTTCCCTTGAAAAAACCTGATACCACACAATATAAAACTCTGAAATAGAGCTTTCTGCTATATTCCATGGCTTGTTTTAACTCATAAGGCTCATGAATTTGTTAATGCTGTATAACATTCTTGCTCTCTCAGGGTCGATGCTAATTAGATAATTAGAAAATGAGTCCTCACAAGATTTTCTTTTTAGATGTTGTTTGAAAAACAGTATCAGAATGTCTGTTGCTGTTAAATTCAGACAACATGGCTTTGTTTGTTTGTTTGTTTCAGGGTTTGTTTTGATTTTATTTTTTTTTAGGGATGATTTTGCTAACAGGTTTATCATTTTTATGCAAGTACTGGGGAGGTTTTGAAACACCTTCATAATTTTATTTTGAAAATAGAAAAGGATGTTTCATTAAACTTTTATTTTATGGAATTTATGTCCTGAAGGCAGGTACCTGACAAAGCAAATAAGTAAAGGATGCGCAGAAGTTATGGAAAATAAAGTAGATGGCTTTATGGCACTGCAGATTTAATGCATGGGACTACTTAGACTTGATGGAATGGTGAAGTTCATGAATTTTTCAGATCGGAATAGACTATTTAAAATATAGAGTCATGTGCCCAGCATGGATGAGATTAATGCCCAGCATTCTATTTAAACTAGAGCAAAACCTTTAGAAGGGCATTTCTCTTAGAAAGGCAGCTGGTTTCTCAAAATGTTGATTGTAAGGGCCAAGTGATGGATACCATGCTATAGCCTCCGAGTGTTGTTCCAAAGATGCATTATTCACATGGTTGGGAAAAGCCTGTTTCCTCTTAGGTTTTTAACTTCTAGTGTCAGTTATTGTTTTTCATAATACCTTTCTTTGTTCATAAAACAAGCTTCTGATAGTTGATATTTTCTCCTTAGATAGATTTATTTGGGTATTGACCAAGTTATCTTTTAAGCTTTACTCCAAACCTAGACAGGAGTTGCTGAATCTTTCCTGCAAAGCCCATTTTCCACATGCCATGATTCTTTAAGTTTGCTGAGCCTGCTGAGTTTTTCAGTAATTGTTGATGACATGGACTTCAGAATTAGACACGCTGTTGCACAAATAGTCGCTCCACTCCTGTTTACAAAAATGATACCTGCTATTCCCCTTTGTTTTGGTGAGCCATATTAGCACAGCATTACACTGGGAGGTTGTTCTCAGTTGAATGGTTCCTTGTCAGAGGAATGATGTTGTGGAACGGGGTTCAGTTGAGAAGGAGCTTGATAAAAGTGACGCAGGGGATTATGTTGTAATTGCTTGCATTAGCAGCGAACTGGACTTGGTGACTCAAAGGTAATTTTCAGTTCAGTATTCACCTTAAAGTTCTTTCTAACGTTGCTGCTTTCAAGGATACACAGTCATCATCCCTGTACTACTTGATAACTGCAAAATACATATGCTGTATTCAAGTCTAGCATTTCAGGAAGTCTAGAACAAACTGCGCAAGTGTTTGATTTATAAACCAAGAGCTACATTTTTAAAAAGATCATTCTGATGTTCCTTTTTACTCCTTATATCTCATAGATGTAGGGATAAACAGCCAAATTGCTTCTGTTTGTTGATTTCAGGAGGGATTGGTGTGTGTGTGTGAGGAGGGATTTACGTAAGGACGTATTTAGCCTGCATGTTCTGTTAGGGTTGGCAATTAAAACGGATTAAGAGAAAGATGAAGGTAGGACATGTGGGAACAACTGTTAGAGATGATAATGAATGTAAAAGAACGATGATGGAGAGGAAGAAAATGTTGCAGCAGTTGTGTGTTGGAGTGCCTGCTAGGGAGGCATGGCTTTCAGCTACATGGCTTGAAATCAAGCTGTGGCTTGGAAGGGCCTGTGGAAGTTAAGGTAGGTGCTGGATAAGTACTGCCTACATTACATGCACTAATCAGACTGCACACTTCATAAAGCTCTGGCTCCAACATAAATAGTCACAACAGTAGATGTAATGAAGTATCCTCCTTCAAGGAGATGGATATGGGAAGAGCAGGACCAGCTCTCTGTGGCTTGTAATACCTGCAGAGACTTTTGTGACTGAGCAGTTTTGTAAATACTTGTAAAACTAGAGGAAATTCCCAGACAAAAACACTGTGAAGGTTGAATTCACATTAACCAGACTTCCTCTGCATGGCATTTCTTCTCTCAAAAGTGACCTGGGAAGTTAGATGTGCAAGTTCAATTTTTGTCTCTAATTGAAAAGTCTGAAGATGGAAAACCTAGTTTCAGATAACCCTTAAGTATGCCCCTTGGTTGACACAGATTTGAGGGGTGGCGGGAGGGGGAAGTCCAGTAACTTGGATGCAGCTTCTATCTCTCTGACAAATTATCAACCACAAAAGCTTTTAACATCTTGAATTGTAAAACAGTGCGAGCTTCTCTCAACAGCCTGGTGACGTGGTGGAGGAACAGTTTTTAACAGCAGCATCCATAGCAGAGAGATGCCAACTGCTTCTTCCTGTTCAAAGAGTCTGTGTTTTACCAAATACGTTTCTGATCGTTATGGGAACAGATGGATCCAAACTCCCAGGCAAAACATTTTGCATCATATCAGTAAGACTGAAATGATGAAAGCCCATTAGACCAATGAAATACCACATTTGGTATCCAGAGTATCTTTGTGACATTGACTAGGAAAGCAGCACTGTTGTTATTCTCAGCATTTTGTATTTTAAATTCTCCGGTGTCTTCTCCAAAAATGGGAACAGAGTTATGTGGGTTTGGTCATAACTGCTTTTGTGGACTTGGCAGTACATGGAATTAACTTCTGTTATGAAGATCAGCCTTAACCTGGGATTTCCAGGTTTTCCAAGCTTTTTTTTGACTGAAATAAATCTCAGATGAACAAAGTAGGGGTTTTGTCTAGGAATTATTCCTGCTCCCTTAGGATTGCTATTGGAAAATTTCCAAAGTAGTGCCCTGTCTCTCTTGCAAGCCTAATAAATTGGCCTCTTGGTTTCTTCCAAGACCTTTACTTGTCTGGCTGCAAGGTATCATGTGGTCTGTTCTGCCAGTTCCTAGCTTAAATTTGTGCCCTTGGAGTACTTGCAGCTGAGCAGTGTCCCAGGTGAAACCTCCCCAGAACCACATAGTGAGAAAATATCCCTTCTTCACTCATTTGGAAGATCCCATCCAGTTAGAATCGATCCATATTGGGGCTTACCCCCATGTGACACTGTCTCTTCCCCTCACCCCGGTCCCAGGTGCCGGATGTGTTCGCTGACCTTCTACTCCAAGTCGGAGATGCAGATCCACTCCAAGTCCCATACGGAGACAAAGCCACACAAGTGTCCTCACTGCTCCAAGAGCTTCGCCAACAGCTCCTACCTGGCCCAGCACATTCGCATCCATTCAGGGGCCAAGCCCTACACGTGCAGCTACTGCCAGAAGGCCTTCCGCCAGCTCTCCCACCTGCAGCAGCACACACGGTAAGGGCTGGAGGAGGCTGGGGGCCCTCTGCACTGCATGTTGCCGTCATCCCAGCATGCTGTGAGCACCCTCAGTAGGCGACTGCCTTGGGGAGACCTTGCTGGTTTTCACAGGCTGGTCAGGTCTTGTACTCAACAAATCGGCAGTAGCGGTATCTGGCACATGAGACTTGGCCCTGCTGTGAGGGGCTGGGTGTGCTCAGAGGCTGGCGCTGCTCAGCCTGAGGGGCATCTGCAGTGGAGTGACACTTTCTGACAGGAGGCAGGGCTGATTATGTCAGAGTGAGAGTAGTGTTGGCATAGGAGGACTGTTGCCTGTCACCCCAGCATAGTTCTGCCAAACATCTCAAGTCCAGGCTTGCAGCCCCCCTGCTATTTCAGCTGTAGGCTTCCCACACACGGGTCTGCCAATGCCCCTCAGTCCAAGCTCTATGGTTCCTCTCTCTGGATCCTCCCCCGGTGCAGACAGACCATGGTCTCTTGAATCCAAGGGGAGCACAGTTTGAGACCAAGCGAGCTCATGCCGTGTTTGGAGTTCCTCTATGTAGCAGATAGCGTGGTGCTGTCCCACCCCCTTTGTGCCCTCATTCCATCAGCACTAGCCAGATGGCGGTCATGTCCAACTGCTGCTGCTCCTCCTCCTCTTCGGCAGGATCCACTCCAAGCTCCACACGGCGATTGTCAAGCCGCACAAGTGTCCTCACTGCTCCAAGAGCTTCGCCAACACATCCTACCTGGCCCAGCACCTCCGCATCCACTCGGGGGCCAAGCCCTACACCTGCCGCTACTGCCAGAAGGCCTTCCGCCAGCTCTCCCACCTGCAGCAGCACACACGGTAAGGGCCAGAGGAGGCTGGGGGCTGGCCCTGGCCCCCCGCGCTGCCGGCATGCACCTGTGGAGCACGCGCGCCAAGCATGCGGGGGGCGGGCGGGGAATGCGGCCGGCTGCACCCCCAGGAGGAGGTGACCCACCAGAGTGGACGGAGTGGAGGCTGCGCAGGAGACACTGACCACGTCAGGGCTGAGGTGGGCACGTGCTGTCCCTGGGGATCCTTGGTCTTGCACCGTGGGTGGCACAGAGAGAGAGAGCGATAGAGAGAGAGGCATTGGCTGCAGGGGATCCCAGCCTGGCACCACGGGGGTTGGACTGAGTGTGTGGAAGCTTCTCCTGGCATTGCAGGGGGACAGGGACAGATTAACACTGTAGGTGATCTCAGCCTGTTATGTAAAGGGAAAAGTGTTGGAGTGTCTATCCTGAGAAGGAACAGAGCTGCTTTCTTGGTACTGTAGAAGCAAGAGAACAGGTCATTTGGGACTCCTGAGCTTGGAGCAGGGAGCCTGGACCTCCAGACCCCTTCCCAACACATTTTCAGGTGGCCCACATGCTGAGCTGGCAAGGCATTCATTCATAAGCTCTTGCTCCTCAGCCCTAGTCACTCTCTGAAATCTGCTTGACTGCTTCTCTTCTCTAACTTCTAGCTGGACATGGGAGCTGGGCAGAGCTCTATGTCCAGATAGAACAGCATCTGGAGGCAACATCATCCCTTTCCCTGCTCTCCTGAGTGGCTGTGAGATTTGATCACAGCATCAGGCCCTGGCAGCCTGCCCTGCCTGCCTGCTCACTGCCTCCCGTTTGTGCTCTTCCTCCTCAACAGTATCCACACCGGGGACCGACCCTACAAATGTGCTCACCCTGGGTGTGAAAAGGCTTTCACCCAGCTTTCCAACCTGCAGGTAAGGGGCTGGGTGTGTCCTCCTTGCCAGTGGGGGTGGCAAGGATGCCAATGCTGGGGGGGGGTGGAAGAATTGGGGCAGCTGGGAAGAGAGTGAAATAATACAGAAAAGCTATTGAAGCCCTGGGCCCAGGAGAAGTTCCTGACTTTTGTGGCATTAGTGACCCAAAGAAGTCACATAAATGGTTGCATCCTGTAAAACTGTAAACTTGACTTGAAAGCAGTGAGACCTTGACAAAGTCCCTCCCATCTCTTCTGCAATTTTCTAACTTTGTTGGAGCAAGACTTGCAAAATGTTTGTTACACCAAATAAAGTCTGGGTATTTGGTTGGGGTTTTTGTCTGTTTGACAATGATACGGAGTGCATAACGGTAGGGATTTAAGAAAGCAGAAGTGGTGTGTCCTGTTGCAGGATCCTGGAGGAGGGGAACTACAGGGTGTGCCAAATAGCAAAGAGTTGTAAACACCTGCAAGCAGTTAAAGCAAATCCTGCCCTGAAGGTATCAGATGCAGGGAGCAGCAAATGTGTATGGAGACAGAAGAGGAGAGACCAAGAAAAGGAAAAGACTGAGAAAGCATTGCATGGAAACTAAGATAGGGGTTGTCGAGCATTAGGAGTCTCTGCTGTCCAGAGATGCCTACTATGCCTGGGAAGAAAGGGGAAGGTGTGAATGGGGAAGGCGTGGTGGGCTGGTGGGAGAAGCTCTGTCTCTATGCTAGGAGCCATACCTTCCTCAGCAGTCGGGAGCCTAGGGAGCTTGGGGCCTGTCTGGAAAGGGGTGTCAGAGATAAAACCGTCTCCAGTACTAATACTGACTTCCTTCCTCGTGCCTGTTTTCTCTTCGCTCCCCACTGCTGCCGTGCAGTCCCACAGACGGCAGCACAACAAAGACAAACCTTTCAAGTGCCACAACTGCCACCGTGCGTACACGGATGCTGCCTCATTGGAGGTACACCTGGCTACGCACACGGTGAAACACGCCAAGGTCTACACCTGCTCCATCTGCAGCCGGGCCTACACCTCGGTGAGTGTTTGCTGCCCTGGGGAGTGGCAGAAATGGACACGCTTCCCAGGGAGCATCTCCTCCAGATCCAATGGGAGCAGCCCCCTGAGCTGTCTATGTCCCTCCCTGTTGGCCTTGGCTTTTGTGAGCATTGTTCCCTCCTCTTACACCGTTCTTCCCATTGCAGGAGACGTACCTGATGAAGCACATGCGGAAACACAACATCCCTGACCCCCAGCAGCAGGTGGTTCAGGCACAAGCCCAGGCCTCGCAGCAGCAGCAGCACTTCCAGCCGCAGGGCGGGGGGGCAGCAGGGGGCCCTTCTGGAGACACTAACCAACCCAATCCTCCCCCCCAGTGCTCCTTTGACCTGACTCCTTACAAGACTTCAGAGCATCACAAGGACATCTGCCTCACTGTCAGCACCAGCGCCATCCAAGTGGAGCACCTCTCCAGCTCCTAGAGAGACCTCAACCCAGGGAGCAGAACGCCTCTTGTGCATAGCCTGTGCCCAGGGGCACCGCCTGTGCAGCGGCCCTCCTTGTGCAACAGTCTCCGGCCTCTCCTCCTGCAACAGCCTCTTCTGGCCGTGTAACCCTGTTCATGGCAGCCCCTTGAACAACAGCCTGTCTCAAGGGGGTGCTCCTTCTGTGCAACAGCCTGCCTGGTAGGAGGATGCTTCCTTGTGCAAGAGCCCCTTTCCTGTGCTGGGATCACTTCCTCATGCAAGAGCCCCTCCTTTCAAACCCAAAGAAAGGCCCCTGTTTTGCCTTCTCTCTCACTGTAGGATGCGTATGAAGGGGGGTTGCGTGTTGAGACACACGGTGGATGGGATGGAGAGACGGCCCTTGTACATACAGGGGCTTGGACACGTTTTCAGCAGGCCACAGAAGAATGTGGCAGGGTTCACAGCTGGATGGGGTTCTTTGAGGATTGCCTTGAGTGTCTAAGAGAGAAATATCCGTTCCTGTCCTTCCTGCTTGAGAAAGGGAGGAGGGGTCGCTCGTCCTGCCCCAAGGACTGGATGGGAGAAACCTTCTCCCCAGTGGAAGGTGAGACCAGTGGAGGGGGGAGAGGTGAGGCATGTTCTCTGAGACGGACAGGTGCCTGCACTGCTCAAGGGCTGTGGAGTATTGCATTCTTTCTCCTCCCCTGGTGGAGAGCAATAGAGGGGAGTCTGTCTGAACTGGCTGCTGCCTCTCTCTCCCAGCTGTCTGAGCAGCATGATGGCCAAGGCCCCGTAGGAATGTGGGTTCCTGCTCATTGCTCTTCCTGCCTGTTGTGGATGATATCCTAGCAGCTTGTACTCCTCCTCTCCCTCCTGCTTTTCCTCCCACCTCCTCAGAAAAGCCTGCAGGCATCAACAACAAACCAAAAAGCAACTAGAGGGGGGTAAGAGACTGCCAAAATAATCATCACCCTTCTCTCTGCTCCCTTTCCTGTAAGGTGGAAATGACAGCAGTTCTGGCACTCACACACCTGTCCTGCCCTCAGTTTCCCAAAGGGAAAGAGGAGGAGGAGGAGGAGGAGGAATAGACCAGTCTTTTCAAGGAGCCAGCAGGAGGCAGGGAAAGGCTAGCTTCTCCTGCTCACCTCCCGCCAGAGTGTTCTCCCAGGCTCCCTCTTGCCAAGACGGGCTGGACTCACACGGCAGTGGTGGCCTCTTCTGGACCCTGGTCATGGGAGAGAATCCCCAAAAGGTGGACAGTGGAGAGAAGGGGATGAAGATCCCCACAGAGAGACCAATCTAATGAGAAGGGGGAGCCAACAAGAATAAACTGAAGGCCCCTTGAATTTATATATATATATATATAAATATCTATTCCCCACCCCTGGCCCGCTCTGTCCTTGCTGTAACTGTTTCTATCTCTGTGTTTATAAAACGCATTATCCTGGCGAATTTTTATTTTCAATCTTCGTTTGTTTTTCCCTTTCTCTTCGTCTTCAATTCTTCTTCCCCCTTTTTTTTTATTGGTCCACATGACTGCTAGTCTTGTGTGTCACTTGTTAGTTTCTTTGGATCATGGAGGCTGACTCGGAAGAGATTGAGAAGGCAAGGGAAAAAGCATGTCGTTGGGTTTTAAAATCAGTCACCCACCCAAAAGCATATAGAATCCCAGACTTCTGTATGAACAACCAATAGGGGCTTCTTATTTTTTTTAACCGCCCTGTATGGAAATAAATTGGTGTAAAAGGCTTCTTGAAGGTGCTGCTGTGAGCACCCTGCCCCTGTGACGTGTGTTCCTTCCCCCTGCACCAGACCATTGCACGAGCATCTTGCTGCCGTGAGTCCCGAGCAGCTGTGTGGGTGGATGCAAGGGCAGCACATCCCTGCCTTTGGGCAGTTTGCACAAGGAAAGCAAGGAGCTCTGCACCTGTGGAGCCTGTGGCAGAAACCTTTTTCTCTGTGTTTAGTCACCAGGGTTGGCTGTGAACAGTTGGAGTGTTTTGTAGATGTGTAGGTTAGGCTATAAGAAGCTGTCTGACTTGCCTCCTGCGCTTCACAGGTGACATTTCAATCCATTTATCCTGTAGTGCGCACCAAGAACTAATGGGTATTTAAACTATGTGTTGACAAAATCTATTGGCTTGATTTTTGAGGCACTGGGACACAGAATCCCTTCCATTGGTAGCCTGCTGCAAGGGCTTCGTGTTCTTGCTGTTTAAATATTTCCGCCAGATTTCTCCTTGCTTTGGCTTCTGGTCACTAGTTCTGAATACATGCATCCTGCTGGTTCAGAGAGCCTGAGCACAGTGGTGCTTTTTCCCCTGGACTGGTATTTAAACACTCTAGTGTCTCTTCTCAGTCCACTTTTTAACAAGCTAAATAGATGAAACTCTGTAAACCTTCCACTGTAAGGGATTTCCTCCAGCCCATAAATTATTCTTGTCTTTTCTTTCTACATCTTGTCAAATTTTTCAGTATCTTATAAAAATGTTCCTTTTGGATTTGAGTGTTGGAAGCCCCAATGCCATGGACGAGGTCCCTTAGCCTTAAGTCTGCAGAGGATTGTGTTTGCCCGGTACTCACAGCGTTAAACGGGAGCTCACATTGGCTGCTTGTCTGGTGTGACTCCTCAGTCATCTGAAGTCTCGGCTTTCATGACAGTGTTTCCCCCTTTCTACAGGTATGGTCTGAGCTCTTATTTCCTAGATGCTTCACGTGAGGCTGTGTCCAAGTCCAGTTTGTGTGAATGGACCTGGCTGAGTGATGGACCAGGCTACTCACTGCTTTCCCAGTTCTGTGACCCACAAAATGTATCAGTTATTTTTTACTTTTAGATCCGGGTTGAAATGCTGCATTGCATATGACCTACGCTAACTTGAAAAGCATCACTGAGTGCAACTTTTTATTAGCTTGTTTTTGAGACTTGCAGGCTAGGCATTTCTTAATCCTCTTAGTATGTGATTATGTACAGTAAATCTTTCTGACTTATGGTGCTAGGTCAATGCCTTATAAAAATTTAAGTATGTTGCACCTATGCAGTCCCCTTTGTTAAACCAAATGTATAATGATGGCATCTAAGAATGAAATTAGGGTTTGGTTTTTTCTTTTCTTATTTTACTACAAAATCTCTTATTTCATAAAATCCTTGGGTTATAGACTTTATTTTTTCATTCACTAATTCTTCATCTCAACAGCTTTTCCATAATTTTAACACTGAGTCATTTCATTTGCCTTTTGGGAATACTGCCGTGAGTGTCTTAAGGTATTTCTCTAATATCCCAACTTTAATTAAAATGAGAATCAATGGGCTAGAGAGCTTGTTAGTGAACTCCTTTAGGACTCCTGTTTCTTTGCTGACTTCAAATGCATATCCCTAGTAGAGGTTGTCTCATCTCCTACTTTGATACTAAGGTACTAGAGAGAAGTTGCTATTTTCATTTGACTGCCACATCCTATTCCTTTCTTTATATTTGTTGACTGATTTCCACTATTCTATGTCACTAGCATTTTCACCATTTTCATCTAGCATGGATTAGTACTATTAGTAAGATTTCTTTGTTAATTTAAAAGAGAAAAAAATCCTGTTATGACTAGTTTTGCTAGCCACAAAGTTTTACTTATTTTATAATGTCTAACTTGTGTCAGTTGCTGTCTGACCTTCATCTTTTCCATCTGTTGTGTTTCAGTTTGATTTTCTTTAAATTGTTTCTTGCTCACAGACTTTCTCACTGAACCCAGGATGAGCTTTTACCAAAAGGTTTCCTCTTTTTCATTGTGAATTTAGGACCTTTTTGGCCACATGGAAGATTTTCCTCACAGGAGAGTTTAATTCACATTTCTCTGCCTTATTTCTTTTTTTTTTCCTCATGGACAACTCAGTTTATAGTTTTGCTCACCCTGGAAGTTAGCACAGACTCAGCACAAGTTTATTACTACTTGTGGCTCTCTTCTCCATGTCCATATTTGATATGAACAGGACAAAACTGCCAGTTTCACTCAAGTTATCTCATATGCATCACCTTGAAGTCTGAAAAATTGACTTGGCTTGGGTGCAGTGTCTTGTACTAAGTTGGGAAGGTTTTAAAAGTCGGAATTATACTTTGCTGACTGGTTGAATTCCCGGGGGAATGGCTCACAAGTTAAAATTCCTTGCAGACATTTTTTGGTTTATATGTTAAAGGTGCTTGAAATTGCCTTTCCAGGCCCCTGGTTTGCTGTGTTGTTTTCTCATGTCTGCTATCCTTCCCCTTCTTGGAATCTGCTACCTACCATGGGGATCCATATGTATTTAAGGCTGTACAATTCCTGTGTTACCAGTCATTTCAAAGATATTATTCCTTGTGTGTTTGCAGCTTGTTGCTGTACCTATAGCTTTTACTGTTGCCCAGGAAGAACCTAATTATTTCTTACTAAGGGACTTCCCATTGAGTTTCAGAAATGCCACTTTATTCCAGGCCTCTTTTTTTCTTATCAATGAGAATGTCCTCTGTTTACCCTGAGTCCTGTTGCTGATGTGGAAATAATTGGAGATACCTTACTCTCATTATCTTTGTCACTTATTTGAGTTTGGATTAGATCTTTGGATTCCCAAGGTTGTTTAACATTGTCAAAGTGCTTCAGGTGGTTTAAAAAGGAGAGTTGCTACCTGTGAGACACAAAATCTAACAACTTGTACAAAATCCTTCCCTGTTGAGATGCAGCCTGAGGTTCTGCAGCTTTTCAGCTTTGTGCACTCAAGCCAACGATGGTTCAACTATTTACCTCCCACTCACTAGTGGAAGACTCTCTTAACAAGATCCTATGGTCCTTCCTCTTAGCTCCCTGAATTCTTTGACCCTGCATTTTCATTGTGATGCCAATGCATTTGTTTCTGTATGTCTTATCCAAGAAGACTTGACAATGACTCTGCAGTTCTGTTAGGTTGCATCTTGTGTCTTTGCTGGAAGGCAGTAGCACTTTTTCTTCTTGTCCTTTTCTGAGCTGATTGTCTGTTCTTAGCTGGATTTTACAAATTATCATTGCTTTAAAAGGAAACATCATGTAGGCTGGAAATCATTTAGAAAAGTCACCCACAAACAGTAACTGAATCTTAGCTGTGACTAATGATAGTATTGCTGGTCTATAATTCAGTTAAATCTTCAAGAAAGATTTAAGACTTTCATAATTTAAAGCCTTATGGTTAATCAACCATATCCTTTATTAGAGTTTTTCTGTTGGTTATCACTGCCATTAAAACTGCCATTCTGTTTTACTACTATATTTTTTTTTAATCCATAGGGTCTTGTTATGCCTTTGTTCAGTACATTAAAGTCTTCTTCTATAAGAAGTCTTTCTTCTTCTGTAATGAATTATAGACCATGATCAAGTCACTGCATTCATTCTTCCAAACAGCTAAATTAAATTGAGCTGGTTTAGGTGTCTCACATTAAGGCTTGGCTCCATCATGTATTTCTTACCTGTTGCCCTTTCAGTTACCAGGTTGTGCAGTGTTCACTTCAAGTCTTGCTACATTAGACCTAGATGGTTATCTTGAGCCACCAAACTTACAATGCCATACAAGGATGTCTAGTTCTTTTAATGAGATCTTTTTCTTTAAATTCAAACCAAGAGCATTATGCTTCTTTTCTTAGCTGAGTGCAACCCCTATCAATTACACTGTGATTTTGCCACGTCAGTGTTAGGTTAACTGCCTTACAGCAACCTGGATGAGCCCATTTGCTTTTCAAATACTTTTAAAGTATTTGCTGGTCTTCTGGAACACATTCAGAGCTTCAAAGTTGTTTGGAAAAGAAAGCCCATTGCTTCCATCTGCTTGCCAGATAATTCTTTTCAAATTACAGATTGTCAGTTTCTAGCTATGCAACTTTTAGGATGTTTTATTTAATGGGTAGAACTAAAGATCTTCCTAAATCTTATTGGCAATAGGTAATATTTCATTACCTCACAGATATGTCTACATCATCCAACTTTCTTCCTAATATAGAATATAATTATGAGATTCTGCCTGTCTTCTATATTTTTATTGATTATTTTATCATCTTTATATCATCTAAAGGATATATATCATGTTTAGGATTTTCTTCTAATATTTTGCAGGTAATGTACCTGAAAGCTGCCCAAGTTTACTAGTGCAGTTTCAGAACATAGAATGAAATTGCTCTGTACACTTTCTTAACTACAAGATAGGTACCTGTTCAGTCGTCATTTCAGGTACAACAGATTAAATTTGTGTGCATGGTTTCTTGTTTCTGTGTAGTAGAACACCAAAGTACTAGAGAGATGTAGTAACTTGGTCCAACAAACATTTCGATTTCATGTAGTGTCTGTGTAATGAATGGAAAAAAAAATGGAAGAAATCGTGACACCAAAGAACTAGAGTCTATGCCTAGTTTTGCTGCTGAATTAGGATATGTTATTGAAACATGGATACAGGTATAATCTGTGGCCTTTGGCATACTCTTTCAT